ATACCCCAAAGCGGTCAGGACCAAAGACCTGCTGTTCGGTGTTAAAAATCTCCTCACGGCCTTACTAATTGGCTTCGAACGGGAACTTTTCAAAATGGGGTATGATTGTTTAGGTTCTACCGGCTAGTGATACATGTATTGATGTTACAAGACTTTGCCGAGTGGCGTCCAACCTCAATCACCGCTGCGAGTTACATACCACCAAAGATGGCTGCCAAAACAAATGATCCAGCACAAAGGTGGAGAAATGAGGAAAATCCGGACGAGGCCGCAGAGTTAATGGCAGAAGGTTCAGCAGTAACTGTGATGGTCGTTTTAGAGCCAGAAGTGAGTTTTATCCGACTTTTCTTTTGCTTCTTCTGAATGGAAATCTCTGTTTTACTTGATAGGTTCATGCCTCGCCTTCCAAGCTCAGCAAAAAGGAGAGAAGACTTTTCAAGCGTGAAGTCTTCCAAGAATGTGTGTATTACCTTTCCATGTGACCTCTTTTCCTCAAACTCATTCGGAATCGTTGTTGTGTTTTTATAGATGTGGCCGAGACGTTGGAAAAGTCTGTACACTCCAAATCGGCACAGAGAAGAGCGAAACGGAGACAAAAAGAACGACTCGCAGCGGATATGTCCGAGATGGAGCAAGTGTTACAGACTGTTATTCAGGACCAGCCGATTGTCACTTCTGCCGCGCAGCAGGATGATACGGAGAAAGGCGCGGCAACAATGCCCACTGCACAAAAGCGTCCGACAGATAGGGATGAGAATGGGCAGATTGGAGAGAGTACGAGGGCAAAACCCTTGACGAAACAACAAAAGAAGCGGGCATTGTACGTACCTCGAGACCTCTGCTGTTTGCCGATTTTGATTCACGTTTTTATGATAGGGCGATGGAGCAAAAGAGGCTACCTCTGATTCTTTCTCACCCAGCTTTTATAAAAGACTCGTTTGGTACAATACGCACTCATACTTCGAATGTAGTCGCACGGACAAATACAACCTCGTAAACTTTTCAAATCACGTTTGTGGGACTCTTAAGGTGGTTTAAAAAATATTGAAATTACAGGTTTCATACATACTCGATGTTTAATTATCCGCAAACGAAGGAATAAGAAGGATCGTCGTCAACAAGGCAGCCAAGTTTTTCTTTTCATGACTAATAATTTAAATTGCTCTCCCTCTAGCGAACGAAAAATCCACCTCTGAATCTCCATCTCCATCTCCTCGAACTCCACTTGGGCTATCCGGGAGCACGGCACTGTGAATGTTGGGGACACCCGTAGGTGGCAGACTGAGATGTTTGTTGGCGTGCTCTTTGTAAAACGAGTGGGCCATGGCGTCCGGCAAGAGCTGTGACGACCGGTCACCTTCACCCGAGCTTTGATTGCTGTCGGCAGGGGAGACGGGCTGTTTACGAGGGAATGCGAAACTAGAGAGGTTGTCCGGTCTGCTGTCCCCGTCGGTCATTGTCCGTCGGGCAGGGACGGCGGGGGCGACAGGTGGAGCTAGGGTGGACGACGAGGGAGGGGTAATAGTTCTTGTCTTGGGTGGATACTGTGGGAACTCTGGCACGGCATTCCTGTTGTACGACTGGTGGTCGTGAATGACGGGTCGTTGCGGGGTAGACAAGGCCCTCAGACGACCCGCGGGTACTTCAGACCCAAAGGAGGGAGTCTCTTCTCTCCTTGTGGTCTGGTTTATTCTGGACTCTGACTTTCTTCTATAGATGTGTGGGTCGCCAGAAACGTCGTATCGCGTTGCTACTGGCTGCGGTCTACGTGGAACCGCAGTTGCTGGTGTTGATGGTGCGGTAGTAGCGATGGGATGGAATTCGGTGCGGTCTGTAGGCGGTGGAGAGGAAGGAACGATGGAGCTGCTAATGGACGACTTGCGGAAGGGGTCATACTCGAGAGCAACCTGTCGGGGCTCGCTCTTTGACCTCGTGAACGCTGGCTTCTCCATAGTAGTAGTGGAAGGAACGTTGTGGATGGATCCTCCGCCTACGACGGTGTTGCTCGTGCTGCCCTCGTTGCTGCTAATGGACGATGACCGAGTGGACGCTCGAGGCCCTAGATGCCAATTTTCAAGTTTGGTCTTGCTCCGTTTTTGAAACTTTTGGATGACGACCTCTTGATAGGTCGTCTCTTCGGTCGGAGCCGAGACCTTGACCGAGATCTGGTTCGAAGAGCTGCTGGTGCTGGAGGGTTGGCCAGACCATTGGACGTATTTTGGTTCATTGTTAAACATGTTCATGGGGGGCTTGATGCTCTGTCGGTTGAACGTGGCGGATAGCGAGCATGGGGAAAACTGGGGGGCGTGCATGAAGGTGTCTTCCATGCCTGGAGAGCTTCCTCCTCCTCCTGCTTCTTTCGACTTGCAATTGGCGCAGTATGATGGTGACTGCTGTTGCTGGGGTTCAGGGTCGTGGTGGTGGTGGTTTCGACGCCATCGACGGCGGTATGCTTCGACGATGATGGTGAGGAGCGAGCCAAGCAACAGTGCACCGAGTCCGACGGCCACCAACACGGTGAGTGTCGTGGTATCTCTAGAACTTAGCAAGCTAGGAGTGGATGTGAATAAACTCTTTAAACCAGGCGAGACTTACAATGACAGAGAAGGCTTTTCACAAGACATGGGGTATAGTAAAGAGTGTCGTACAAGAGAGTGAGATAAGTTAGAGGGTGTCGAGGCGGGGTGCAAAAGGAGACGAGCGATGTATATACTCACGGCCAACCACATTCTCTTCTCACGCACGCCCGGTCCATTCTCACCGCAAATTGTCGACTCTCATCCATTCATCGGCGATTTGGCTGCCGGGGCCCGTGGTTTAGACTCATTGCTACATGGACACGTTCACGATCACGCTCAGAGGAACGAGTTTTCAGCTCACAAAAGACCAGGTCGAGTTTGATGGGCCCAACTACTTTACGTCCTACTTTTTTGGCGGGTTCAAAGAAGCCGAGCAAGGCACGCGCGACCTGACGCTCAACCGCCACCCAAAACTGTTCGAGCTCATCTACGAGCACCTGTCTGGGTACGAGATATTTCCAGTTGCGGATGGATTCATCCCTGGCATGTCCACCGAGACCGTTCTCAAGAATCTTCGGTTGGACGCCCAGTTTTATGGACTGACCCTCCTCCTCGCAGCCGTAGAAGACGAGTTGCACACCCGAGTAGAAGAAATGAAGCCAGAGCCTCCTCTCAAATACGACTATTCTCTCCTGGTAAGCCCACCCGGTTACATTGTGAGTGTGAATTCAAGGGATCCCCAGGTCCGATGGAATGGATTTAGACCCTCGTTGGACCGGTATCCTGTCCCTCAAGAGTCTCTTCAAGCCTACCTAGATCAGTTCAAGGTCGCAGACCTTGGCTCCCAGGACCGCAGCTGGATTCCCGTAGAGGGCGATCAACAGATTGTTGCAGTCTGGGAAAACCCCAATAGAGCAAACTTTGCATATGCCCTCGTCAAGCGAAGGAGGTAGACGAACGAGCTAGTTTTATTTCTGGACCCAC